CAATATGACAGGGACACACACACACCCACAACACATTGTTTCGCTCACACACTGAGCGGTGAGTGGTGAGACTGGCTTTGGCCGGCGCTATATCACCATGACAAAATGGCCACGGCAGAAACTGGTTGACTTACTGCAAGAGAAGGTTGGTTCTTTCTGTAGAATAGAGTTTACATTCTATGCATCAAGCGTGTGTGCGCGTGTGTTTGTGTGGGTGGGTGGGTGTGTGTGAGAGAGAGAGGGAGAGAAGTATTGGTGTGTATGTGAGTTTGTGGAGAGTTTGTATGTTGGACCAAGCTGTGCAGGTTTAATCATATTCAGGAGTTGTTTGTTTGCCTTTGCACAAAAATGATAGTGTTTTTTTGTTTGTTTGTTTTTTGGTAAAAATGCACTGTCATTGTAAGAATATTCTCTAGTTTAATAAGAATATACAAATTCTTCCTGCAACACTTCCTTCCTCCTCCTCTTCTTCTGTCGGATGCCATGTGGCAGATGGCACACATTCAGACCGGTTGTCATAACTGAACAGCTCACTTCTGCTAAGGTCACACTTGTGATCCCCAATTTGCCTTTTCTTATCCAGGCACACTAGAATACATGAAATGATTCATTCTGAGAGCACTAAATGGGATGTTACTCACATTGCTGCTGTCACACCTTCCCACACCAGATATGTACATGTACATGAAAGGAGGTTGTCACATATAGTCTTATCCAGATTCAATTTAGCATTGACAGCCATGAGTCAGTGTAAAGAGGGGAAAAGTATTGCGAGAAAAAAGTCAGAATTACTTGAAATTACATCTGAACTTAGTTTCATTTTCCTCACCATGCATTTATCTATTTATTTTATCGATATTTTCTTATTTTATTTGATGACAAAACCTTATTTCCAGGTATCACTCTGCTAAAATCAAATTACGTTTACTTGTTTGGGAATTTTATATTCTATACTTTACTAAATTAAAAAAGGCCTCAACACCTGAACACGAATCTCCCCCCACTTATTATCTAAGCTCTTGGCTGTAAAGACCTTTTGCAGATCATAAGACATAAACCCGACTGATGTCATGTAATCAGAATTTTAAACTGCAATACAGCACCAGTACGAAAAAAAAAATCAAACAAAAACCTCTGGACACAATTGATATGTCAAAAAGAAAAACATGCCCTAGGCACACAAAAAAATTTTATTTTTTCAATTAAAAACCTGCACACAGTGCTGGTACAGAGAAAATCTTGAATAACAGTGGCATCCACTTGCAAACATCCACTCACACAGTCCTGCCTGCCTGTGCTTCTGCCACAGGTCAAGGACCAGTTGCTTTTCTTCCCTGTTTCATCTGTGCAGACTTGGGTTGAAAATCTGATTGCAGATTATAGTTTTTTTTTATTATAGCTTCGGCACTTTCAATACTATTTAATGTATAATTAATGGATATTGTATTGCTTTAAACATGTGGTATCGAAAAAACATCTAAGTATCAATGCTTTTGACAGCATGGCATCATCGCCAAGACTGTGCTACCTTTTAGCGGAAAGAAAGAGTTGTGCTAGCACATTAGGAAAGACACAGGAAAACACTAAAAAGCTGATGTGTAGTGGGTTGTGAAACAAATAAACTGAGATTTGAGCCACATACGATGCATGAATATTCACTGTCAGTGTGGTAAATGACTGAAGGATGCTGGTGAGAGATACTACTGATGGATAGAGGGGCTTGAGTGGGCTGCTGCTGTACAGTCATACAGTATAACATCATCAGACTGCCGTCTCCAACTAAATCTAGATCAAATGGTTGGCTATTAACAGGTTGGTTATTTATAGACTACGCCTCATGATACCCAGTGATTCACTCAAATATGTATAGATGTACGAATAGGTAAGATCCAGTCACTGTGTCAGTGGCTGTCGACTGAAGGGGCATGATGGCACACCGTTCAATCTTAATTCATGGATATATTGCGAACGCTCAAGTTAAGGCAAGGTTGTAGAATTATTAGACATACCAATAAAACAAACTTTTGTTGAACAAAAAATACATGCACACAAATGTATCGATAATATATTTCAAGTACATCAAATTGCATTGACATCTACGAGTTTTGGTTTTCTATCCATCCAAGAAGGGGTACAGCCTTGACGTTTCGTGAAGTACCCGTATCTGCTTGTCTTCTCTATGCTAACACTCCGAGAGCATCTCTCAGAAGGAAGATGGGACCTTTTATCATTTCTATGTTTCCCATCTGGTAGCCTCTAGAAATTATTGCTTTTACTAAAAATGTCCATCAGCATAAATTTTTGAGCAATTATCTCTTTTGCCTCCATTCAACACAAGTTCACAACTGCAGTTATTCCACGCCATATCCAACTTAATATACTGAACCTGCTATAACATTAGCACGCTTGTCACGCAGAGCTATCTACCGAAGACACAAGGCTGTTGTTGGAGACAATCCTCTCATCACACACTGATAAACTGCAGCCACACAGGCTGCATAAAATCAAATTTCAGGCGTGAAGTGTGAATGATATTACAGCCAGATCTCAGAGATGACATTGTAAGGGTACTGACAACTGTAGCCTGAATAGCCAAAAAAAGCCTTCTCATCGTTAGGTAACATGGAGAAAAACAACACGAGGGAGAGCCAAAACCTCTTTTACCCGTTGTCATTTGGTCAAACTGCCAGCGTGGCTTTACTGAGTGTCTGCCAGCACTGCCGTATGGCAAACACACACTCCCATAAACACATATGCGTGCATGCACACGGTCACTATTTCTGGTTCAGGGGTGTTGGAATCTGGCAGGCGGCTCATATTGTCTGAATGTCATTTCTTTATGCATGAATGCGCTGTATTTACACACAGGCATGGTTACACTCGTATATGCACATTCGCAAATGTACAGATACAAACGCACACACACACACACACACACACACACACACACACACAGGCACATTGAGACCGAGATGTAGCAGCTGCTTTCTGCCTGCATCCACAAACAACCTGACATTCAAATCAAACATTCAAGTCCTGGGTTGATATATATTTTCAGGCCAGTTTGTCCCTGGTTGAAAAGACAAATACTGTCACACAGCTGCAGCCTTTTCCCCTCTTTTATCCTTGTTTTAGGGGATCAAGAGCAGCTTTTTATTATTTTTTTCTTAATCCAGGCAGAATCACTGGCAGTCTATGCCATTAGAAACAAAGGTTATTACAAGTGTCTTTGCTCACTTCTCTGCAATCAAAATTTCACTTTAAATTGTCACTTGAAGGAACTGTCAAAGAATACTTTACCTGCAAAATGACCAAAGATCAATTACTCACTGTGTGTTACGTTGAATTGGTGAAAAAAACAAACGTTTTTCCTCACATGCCTCCACAGCAACCAAATGGAGAAAATTCTTGATGAACTGAAGCTGAGGGGGACTGCGTTTAACAACAGCAAAACTTTATAAAAATGTCCATTAACAAACTCTCACATAACTCATGCAGTATAATCCAAGTCTCATTTATCCAGTCATATTCTCAGTGCTTCCCAAACACATGCGTTTTTGCTAAAATGTTACAATGTAAAAAACACTTCTCCATGAGTAGTGCACCATGATCAGGCCTGAAAATGTGCATGCATATGAGCGCCGCTTGAGCAGAGTTCAAGTGCACTACTTGGCCATGCATGAGACTGTTTGTACAGACATGTTTTAAATCGTTAGTGAAAATGCATGTGTTTGGGAAGTACTGAGCATACGACTGGATAAATGAGACTTGGATTATACTACATGAGTTATGTGAGTTTGTTAAAGGATATTTTGATGTAGTTTTGCTGTTTTTCAATTAATGAATATTTTTGTACTTTTGTATTCTTTGTTCATTGTGGAGGCATGCAGAAAAAACGTTTTCTTCACAAAGACAACAGTAACACAGTTAGTAATTGATAAATACTGACCATTTTTTTGGATAAAGTATTCCTTTGAGATGTGAAACCCGAAGCTATTAAAGAAAAGAGTGTGTGGAACTAATATGTCTGGGATAACAGAGTTGCGGAAAAGTGCAGAGCTCTTTTCACATTCAAGTGCTTAAGTGATCACTGCTCTGATGGTTTCACAGCTTTTTAAAATATCTTTGGTTTTGTCAGAATATCTGGTGTTTTTCAGATGCATTTGAATCCCCCCTCTGTTCTGGCTTTGAATAAGCAGAAAAACAGCCTGTGGTTAAATGCGGCCCTCAGTGTCATTTCAAAGTGAAATCCAAAGCTGTTAAAAGTTACTGCTGCATCTCAACAGTTGGGCCTTTTTGGAGCAATTAGGGCTCCTTTCTAAGTGCTCAGACTGTGACTAAACCGCAGCTGATGGTTTTTTTGAGCTTTTGATGTTTGGCTGCACAGAAAATTATGCACTGGGGGGGGGTACTGACTGCTCATGAACTTCTCACGTTTATTTGAATCTGGTTCTTGGTTGACATACTACTGTTTAGAGAGATGTATTTGTGTTTATTCTGTTCTGTTTACACTACACTTACATAACATGTCCTCATACAGCGCTTTGTATGATATTCTACGAAAATGCACAGACAATGGTTTTAATGCTATCCTACGAATTAGCGATGCACAAATGACATTATGTCTTCAACATTAGGTTATATAATTTACGTAACGTTACGGAGGTTAGGTTTAGGAAAAGACACATTCACTCAGTATTCAGATGGTTCCAAATAACGTTCTTCTGGGGAAAGTCCTATGTTTTGTGACCCATCCACCTCCACAGTGTTCCACCTGACTGGACCACTCAGGACTGCCTCCATCTTTACTGCAGTCAGCACACTGGTCATATGATCACAGCCATCCACAATATGTGGGTTAAGCACAAATTACTGGCTCATCATTATGTCGGATATGTAGGAAATTTGGGTAGAAAAACGTACAAATGGTGCATGAGAAGAGCCTTTCGTTTTTGTATGGTCATATTCATTTTTGCATGTGTGTGTGTGTTCATTTGCAGTATGACCCAGAGAATTCGGGCTTCATCAGTACGGAGCGGTTCAGGGACTTGCTGGCGACCCACGGCTCTGAGCTTGACCCCCACAAACTGGAAGTCCTATTGGCCCTCGCTGATGGCAACGCTGACGGAAAGATCTGCTACCAAGACTTTGTCAACCTGGTGAGATGATTTAACCTTTTACAGACTTGCTGACAGCAGTGTTCATTAGAAATGAGTGGTTTAGTGGCACCTCTTACAGCACACTGTCTTTACAACTTTTTTAATGTGAGTATTAACAGATATATCCAATATGTTCTTGCATGCTATGGTTTTCACATGGAGTCGGACTCGAGTCATGAATCTAATGACTTTGGACATGAATAAACAACAGAATCAAAAATCAATCGAGTTAGTCAAGAAAATGACTTGACTTTTACACCAAAGACTCCTGACTTCACTTAGACTTTGGGATTATCTATAGTGCATGGTCTAAAGTGCATGGCACAGGTGGATTTAGGGCATGTCCAACTGGACTTTTGCAAGTTAAAAGGCACATAATCTGGGTAAAAGTAAGGTGCAAGGGGCAAAGAGGTTATATTTAGTCCCTTAATTAGGTGTGTTTTGGGCATAACATGAATTCAGCCAATCAGAATATCAACTCACTTTAAAAGCCAGGTGCAACTGCACTGTTATAACCACTGATATGTGTTGATGGATTCAGCAAATTAAAGAAGTAAGCCTTCTTTTGTGTGTGTGTGTGTGTTGTTGTTGTTTTTTTGACTAAGGGCACAGTCACACATGCACAAAACTGGCTAATTTTCACCTTCTTTTCACTTCTATTCAGCGAAGGGGCGAATAAATACATTTTACTGCAGCAAATTTCATGTGAAATTTAAGTGGCAAAACTGACAACTGCAGTTATTAAGTACAGCTCTACTCTGCTCCCTGCTATGACCACATTTTGGAGAATTTAATTAATATTTTCCTCATTAATGATGTATTATTTCACCCACCCACAACCCTTCAACCCATCCACGTGTTCCATTGTGAGTAACAAGCAGAGTGTAGAGGAACCTACTTGTGTAGGTGCATCTTACTATCTGAATAATGCACCCTTGAAATACCAGGAAAATACTGCACCAATGTTACTTTAGATCAGGTTTTTGTTGGTCAATGGCACAATCACTTTACGCTGCCTCAAAATAGCAATGAAACAACAACGGCCTGACCACACCTCGTTTTAAGACCTACACGCCCATGGGTGCACAGATAAGCACAAGTACTTGGGTTACGCTGGTCATGAAAATTACAACAGCATTGGTCTGAAACCAACTTGACAGTTGTGCTGTGCTGTGCACTGCTTTGCATCGGGTGTATGATAGGGCCCATTGACTTGTAATGATGTGATATCCTTCACAGGCCTCAAAGATTAAAGATGATGTTATATGTCATAACAATATGTCATATGAAAGTCTTATTTAAGACTTGAAATACAAAGATTGGGATTTTATCTTGACTTGGTTCTTGACTAACCAGGAATTGAGACTTCTTTATGACTTGGAAAACAATGTTTGTATCCCGCCTCTCCATCGTCTGTCTACATTACCCACACTATTTTTTTACTCACACATCAGAGTGTTTTCATTTTTACATCCAGCCCCAAAAGCCTTATTCCAAAATCACCTCAGCTGCAAGGTGGAGAGTCTTCCTAACAGGAAATGACTCTCAGTCCGGTGATAAATTCCCCTCTTAACGCTCACCTTGCCCCACTTTCAGTTTCACCTTCAAACTGCAGCCTGCTGCTGTTTGTCCAAGGTCTCACTCAAACATCTCCAGCTGTGCTCGCTGCCTCATAACCTTCTCATTTTCTGTTTTCCACTGTCTTGCTGCTGTTCCTCATGGGAGGCTGAACCGCTGACCCGGGACAGTGTGGAGTGATCTCAGAGTGGGAGTAGTTGTGTGGTACACAATAACTACTGGGTGGCAGTGCAGTGGGGGTGTGTGCATCTGCAGAGACTGTAGGGAATTCATTGTTGTCTGTGAGTGTGAGTTTGCCCATCTCTCCCTCTCTCTCTTGTTCCTCAGAGCTGTTTATTGTCTGATACAGTGGGTGAGGAATGAGGCCTGTAGGAAGCTTGGAAAAATGTCAAAGGGGCTTTTGGCTGTTGTTTTCCAATTGGTGCATTCATGTCATGTGACAGGCTGTGGGTCAGGGCGTGCAACTGGAAGTGGGACAGAGAGGAATGGGGTGCCGGCATCTGTGTGTACATTCACTTTTTTTTTTTTCTTAGTCGCTATTGTGTCCACCCCCTCAATAGTTTATACATTCACAGAGGCAGGCACAACAGAAGCTGAACACAGGGAGGGAGGGAGGGAAAGTAGTGACGACAATTCATGATTATGGTAATATGCTGTGCAGTGAATGAATAAGCAAGTAGTTCGATTAGTTAGATTAATCAATTAATCATTTATCAAGCAAATATGTCAACATTTGCTTGTTCCAGTTACTCAGATTTGAAGATTTGTTGCTTTTCTCTCTTTCATGTAATTAGTGCAGTGCCCTTTAAAACGTGACTGTTGAAACGGGCCAACTGTTCGGCCTCCAGTATTGCTGCTTAAAACAACTTGACTCTCAACACAATGCTTCCTTGGGTCCTCAGCCATACACCTGCCATGACTTAGCTGCATCCCCTAGCAATGCAAGAGCATTTGGGTGCAAAAGCTCACACAAAGATTTTATTGCCCAAGTAAAGTCAAAGCCTGACTTTTCCCAGGAACAAATGCGTTTATTCCAAAAGTTACAAGCAACAAAGAGCGAGCTTTACCCAGCATGCCATTCGATTGTGTAACAGTCACAGGGATACTTTGCTGGTTTTCAACCAACTTTGTATCAAAATAATGTGGGCAGTAACCTGTGGTAAATTTCCCTCCATCCAGAGATCCGCCCCTCTCTCTCTCAAACGCAGACCAAATTCAGATCAAGTAATACCTAAAATTTCATTTGGTTTCTGCTTCTTAAAAGTGAGGGAAATGTTGCTTGTCTCTCTTTAAAATAATTTTAATCAAATACCTTCAGGTGTTCATAAGGTGGTCGAACAAAAAAAAAAGAAGACATCACCTTGACACCATTTTTTTTTCAATAGACCAAGTCAAAGTTACAGAATAAATGAAAAGAAAACATTCAACAGATTGTTATTCATGAAAATAATACATTTAGCCCTACATTGAATACTAAAATAAGTACTGCTTTTGGAGTGATGAGAGTCTGAACCTCTTGTTTGAGAAGACAGCTCTTCAAGGCTAAATGTTGGTTGTTATCTACAAAGATTTCTGCATGTGAACCCACAATTCTGCAAGAGCTTGTAAATATGATATGAATATCTCAAGGAATGTAAGCTATGTAAATGCAGCGTAATGGACTTTGTAAGGCGCAGGCATTAATGGTCTCTATGATAAAGATCAAAGGGGTCAAATCCAGTATGGGAGCCTGAGAGAGAGAAAGTTCTTCCAGCTAGTTAATTATCAGTGCCTGGTCTCTGTTGGTACATCTCTATCTCTCTTCAGCCCTCACAGAAGGAAGGAAAGAAGAGGAACAGAAGGAGAGAAAGAGGCCAGAACAGACAGAGACAAGCTGTGAGGGGGTTTATTTGTTGTGCCATCTCCCATTTGCACTGCAGCTCCTCCATCAATGTGGTTGTCAGTAATTGCCCGCTCACTGTTTCGTCACAGTCGGTGTTCAAACCTCAGCTCGCTCGCTCCCTCTGTTTACCTCTTCTTCCCTCCATCTTCCCTCGCTATTTACCTTCTCCCTTAGTCTCTCTCCTCCTTTGCATAAACTCTCAGCGCCTTCCTTATCAGTGCCTCTTTCTCCTTCTTCTTCCTGTCCATCCATCTCCTCCTGTCTCTCATAAAATGCTCTGCGACTGTTCTGGGTAGAAGCTGGCTTAGTAATATGTTTATGCTTCCTAAAATATCTACAAACAGGTTGAACCGCTTTGTTCCCCTCCAGTGGGATGAAATTGTGGAATGATCATGATGGATGTGTGCCACTGCTTACAGATGCACTCATAAATGTCCTGTGTGTATGCCTGATACAGTTTGATTTTGCCTAAGATACCCTATATTATCAACACTTTGTGGACATACCTCCTGTTGAAAATTTGGGCTTCTTAGTTCCAAGGAAGGGAAATCTTAATGCGACAACATACTATGGTTTAGACAAGAGTTGGTTTCTAAATCTGTGGCAAAAGTTTGGGTAAGACCTTTCACTGTTTTGAAAGGACAATTCTCCCCAAAATCATAAATACAAATTTAATTCTTACCTGCAGTGCTTTTTATCAATCTAGATTGTTTTGGTGTGAGTTGCCGAATGTTGGAGATAATGACTGTAGAGATGTTTGCCATCTCTCCATTGGAAATAGATGGCACTTGGCTTGTGGTGCTCAAAGCACAAACACATTTCTACTGAACTACACCCGCAAACCGCATCACCACACAGAAGGAAATGTGCATCTACTACTAGCTCACCAAGCACCACTGAGCTAGCTAACGTTAAAATGCCTGTTGATGTACATCTCGCGCTGTCATGGGCATGAGCCTGTCATTTATGAGTAGATGCACGCTTCCTTCTGTGCAGTGATACGGTTGGCACGTGTAGCTGGTAGAAAGATACTTGATCGTCATTAAACTGCTCACAAGATCAAGATCTGTGATTATTTTGGATGTTGAGTTGATTTTTAGGCACTTTGAGCACCACAAACCGAGTGCCATTTAGTTCCATTATATTGGAGAGAAGGCAGACATCTCTACGGCTGATATCTCCAACACTCGGCAACTCACACCAAAACAATCTAGACTGATAAATAGCACTACAGGTATGTTGTAAAATATGTTTTTTTAAATTTTGGGATGAACTCTCCTTTAACATCGCAACACAGAGTGCCAAGGAAGTGGGCAAACAACATGAACCTGGGATGTGCCCTGGTAGTCTGATGAACCACAACGTTCCCAGTTCATGTCTAGTTTGGGACTTCTTGTTGCATAATGTTCCCCATCTCTCTCTCCCCTCATTTCCTTATGTCCCTTTCCTGTCAACTCTAACAAAGGCAGGATATGCCAAAAAATCCCACCGCAACATTATACAGTATCCTCAGTCAGGGCGCTGTGCTGGCCAATTAAGT